AAACTCTGAGTGAATAATGAATTAAAACACTCATTGTTGTCAAGTCAATTCTGACTCATTCATGGTGGCTCTATAAGCGTAGGGCAGAACTGCACTCAAGAGAGTTTTCAAGAATCTTTCCTTTTGGAAGTAGATGGCCTGGCCTGTCTTCCGAGGTGCTTCTGGATGGATTTGAACCTCCAACCTCTAGGTTATTGGTTGAGTGCTTAACTGTTTGTGCTTCCATGGGACTCCTGATTGAATAATGAAGTCCCACTCTAAATTATCTTCCATTTTCATATATAATAGATTTGAAATAAAGGTAATCTTGACAGAAAGTATCCCAATTTACATGATGTAAATCTCTCATTTATAGTTTGGCCTCTTTGTTTTTCGGGCACCATTTTCAGATAATCAATATATGCATAGAAGGGGTCTGTCCATAGTATATAATATAGAATCATATGTTACCTAAAATAAAACATTAATACAAATAACACAATTTTACAGATGGTTCTAAGGCCCTTACAGCAGAAATTTCATTTTCACAGACTAAAAATAGAGAAAAGAGACACTGAATGGGTTGCCTAAGCTCACTCAGCTAATTACTGGCAAAACTTGAGCTAGATTTATAGATGTACAGTTATTTTCACAAACTCAAAGCTGAGAGTTAAAACATTTTTAATATCAAAATATTAATTTCACAATTTGTTTAGTTGTTAGGGTTGAATGTTATTTCAAAATTACAAGTTTAAAATAAAAATTTATTACTTCTGATGCTGTTGATCTTATTTTCTTAAAGATTATCAAGTAACACATTAATTCAATATTGTTTTTTAATTACAAACAACTACATTGTTGAGTTTGTTGTCTAAATGATTTGTGATTAAAATAAATGCCTTTAGAATGCCATGGAAATATAAATTACATTATAATTAATGTGTGATAAACCTAAGCTCAAAAAATAATTGTACAACGTTTGGATAAAACTGTAAAAACACATTTGAGTTTAATAAAAACATGAAAGAATAAAGTAAACATATAAAACAGCACCTTTGGTTCATTAGTGTAGAGAGAGAGCATAAAATTTAGAAATGTTCTGTTATTTACTCCGAACAGGAAACAATATTTCCAGAAAATCAACTGAAAGGAAACATTTTTCACATGATAATATGTTGCTTTACATAATACATTTCACCAAAAGTTACTTGTATATTAAAAAGATTCAATTACTTTTTAAAATTTTCTCTTAGCATATGAAAATAGTTTTATGATAATAAACAAAACAAAAAGAAATCCAATGATTAAATGCTTCCTCACAGGGAACTATCCTTTAGAATAAACACTCTAGAAAATAACTTATTTAAAATCTCTGATTCTATTACTTTTGATTTCAGTTAAGAACCTGAGAAAGATAATTGTTTTTGTTGTTGTTGTTTTGTTTTTTCTTAATTTTTAAAGGAAAATATTAATATCTAAAGAAAATAATGTGTTTCCAGTAATCAATTAATCAATTAATTAATTAATTTAATTTCACACACTTGATTTCCCTGGCTTCCTTCTCTACCATGCTTCTACTTTATACGTCTCTACTATGCTTAAACAGTTTTTAGTAGTGCACAAAACCTCCATTTTGCTAAACGCAATTGATATTTTCTGTGCTCAATTTACTTAACCTCTCAGCAGCTTCTGACATTGTTGAATATTCTGTACCCTTTGATACACTTATTTTTCTCTTGACTACGTGATGTTATATCTTATTTCCTTCTTTCTTCTCTGACTTATTCACTCTCCTCTGCTATAAAATTGAAGTTTTCAGAGCTCAGTCCTAGTCCATCTTCTCTCTCTTTATATTCTCCTTCTTTAATAAATTCTAAAAAGTGCACTTTCGGTGTCCCTACCTCATGGAAGATAGGGGCCCACATTCAGCGAGGTATGAAGATTCTTCTTTGATTTCCTTCAACTCACTCACATATCTAATTTACCAAAGATCACTTTTGATTTCACCTAATATCTCTTGATATTATTCAGTTTTCTCAACTCCAACTCTAAGCATGCTAGTCCAAGCTGTGCCATGTCTGAACAAGACAACTGCTTTGACTTCCTGGTTGGTTTGCCTACATGTTCTCTCGCCACCGTGGGATCTGTTCTCTATTTCATTCACACGCACCTATTTTTCAGAATGCAGATTTTATAATGGAACTCTCCTGCTTAAAACCTTTCTTCACACTCCTAGAGCAAAACCTACCCTCTTTAACATGTTCCACAAAACCTCAAACTATCTCATCCCTACCTTTATATTCATCTTCCTTTTTAGCCTCAATCCACCTTGCTTTCCATTCTTTCTATGTAAGTTGTGTAGTACCCCAGTAACAAAACAAGAAACATTACTGGGAAGACTACTCCTGTCTCACCAGAATACAAAATATTTCCATCATGTATGTGCTGCACCAAGAAAGGAGCAAAAGGTAAGACTGCTAAGAGGAAGATAGAAGGGAGAGGTCACACTAGAAAAGTAAACAGGTATGCACTTTAAACTGTGCAAACTAGAAGCATCAATAGTGTTTAAATCTATTTTTCTTGTTACAAAAATCTGGATTATTTAATTTTGTTTTAAATGATAGCTCCAAAGAGTTTATAGAAATATCAGCTTCAAATGTGATTGTGATCAGATTTAGACTATCACAACAGATAATATAAAGTTAGATAATAAAATGAAATGTAATGCAAATCTCAAATTAAAAAAAAAATTGGTTTTAATTTAATAGAATTTAATT